AAAAGAATAAGAATTCAATGCGCTATATCATGTGTACCCTGTGTTTCGGAGCATAAGCCAGTACGGGCGGCCTACCACTTTGTCCGTAAGGTGCCATGGCCCCTGTTAGTAGGCGAACCCACCGCTCCGAAACACAGGATACATGAAGACAGGTTCCAGTTTTATAGTGTTTGTGATATGATTAGTGATTATGGGTGTCCAGTAACTTACTGGATTTGATGCAGTGCTCTCAACTGAACATAATTATCACCAATATGCAGTGGGGAATTCACTTGCTGTGTCTGTTTTCCTCTTTCTACCTTTACCCATCAAGGTATGCTTCTATCCTGTAAAGGGTTGTAAATAGTAGGAATTAGATATTTTTTGCTCCTTTGTTATAAGATTACAATCAAGACTTTCAATGTACTTCTACAAGATTCCTTTTATGCCGAGTGAATACTTAACATCTAGCTTTAAGAAAATAATTGACTTAGTAATCACTGTGTTGGTAAATACTGGTGCTTTCTCATATTTAGGTCAAGAAATTTGAAAATCATGATCTTCCTTATTTGCTTGTTGAAACAATTGCGTACTTTAATTTTAAGAGAATATTTGGAACCACAAGTACCAATGGTAACGAAATGAGCCTGTTTCAAATTTTTCAAGTGTTCAAAAAAATTTTTGTAACCCTGCTTTGTTGTTTATTTTATGAACTTTGACAGATTATGACATTTTTCCCATGTACATTATACTATGCTGTTGTGTATAAGATACTGATATCAAACGCGTCATAGATAATAATAAATGAGCTGTTATTCAGAATCTCTGATAGTATAGAGATAATAAACTTATTTCTATAAAATAGACCGTTCTTGAAAACTGATTGATTTTATTGAACAGTTTTGAAAACAAAGTAACAAATAGACAGCATTCAAAACAGAATGACAGATAACATACTGAAACGGCAAAAAATCTAAATTTTTACTGCTGAAGCATATTTGTTACTCTGTTGATAACATCATCCAGTTTGGATGCAGGAAAGATGAGAACTTTCCGCCAAGGAGTCATTTCTGAATCACTTTCATTCCACTTTCCTCCAAGAGCAGAATCAGAATCATCTTTCACGCAGAACTCAAAACTGCAGTCTGCAACCTGAAATAAGTATTTTTAAAGTTAAGTTAGTTTGGTTCAAAAAAACATAGCCTAAGTCACGATCAAGATGTTCAATTGGAAAGCAAACACACCTCCAGAAACACTTCTTCCTCAGCATTTGACCACAAAATTTCAGGCTCTGCCTCTTTGTTTTTGTTCTTCTTTGACTTCTTCTTAGTGTGGTCCATTTTGTACAGTTTACAAATTAGCACAAAATAATGGAAGTCAAAGGGCATTTTTCTGCTTTTGGCTTTCTCTAATTCTTTCCTAGGAGAGAAAGAAAAGGTATTTAAATCCTGAGATGTGGTATCATAAGTAAATAAGAGCATTCCGAACTAACATACCTTAAGTTCATTAACAATGGAACTGCTACTTGAGGAGGTATATTAATGAAGCGCTCATTAATTAGGAGACCGACAGAATGACTATCATCATCTAGTAGTTGATTGACTTTAGAAACCGTGCGATCATCTCCATGTTTGGTACTAAGGTCTTTCAGTAGATCCCGCAGTTGTGAGACACATTGCATACTCTACAAATATAAATTGATAATTAGTAAGGGCATTCATAAAAAAAATTATTTCTCCCTTTCAGAAACATACCTTTTTCTCTGTAAGATTGACAACTGAAGTAATTCCATAGACATCATCATCCACATTCATGTCATCCTCATCGTCACTTTCAGGATCATCATCACATTGCTAGTAAAAAAGACAAGATTAACAAGAAGCAAATTAATTGCTCTTGAAGATCGCAATAAAAATCAAAGCAAAGATTGATCATTTTTGCAACGCTACAAGCATGACTAGCTGCATCAAAAGAAAATGCTCAGGGCCTCCCATGCCAGTCCCCTATCACCAACATTCAACCAGTTGCAGCATTTTGATTGTAAATCGACAAAAACTAAGTAAAACAATAAATACCTTTACAACACTTCCAATGTAATTCTGTTTGATCAAAAGCTCTGTCAGATCAGACAAATTAACATGCGCTTTGAGAAAGAGCTGTAGAAGCAACTGTTTGATTCCATGGAAATCTGAGTCTACAGGTATCCTCCCTTCAAAGTCGACCTGAATTTGCTGAAACATACAACAAGAAAGTTAATGGTATTCTAACCTCACTAATTGCGATTCGGTTAGTTGTGGTTGCAAATCAAATGACACGCCCCACTCGGAAATCATCAATAAAAATGTCATTTTGAAAGCTTAAGAAATATTTTTTAAAAAAATTGGGAACTTGACGATAAGTTAGATAGTTGCTGCGCAGGACTGAGAGTGGTACGTACCTCGCCTCCTTTATATTCTTCATCCTCTCCAGATGAGTCGTCATCACTACTGGAATCTGATTCCACATTTTGCTTGGAATCTACAGCCCGTTTCTTCATAGTTGAAGTAATGTGGAAGGTAAACAGAAAAACAGAATGAAACAGAAATGAAATCACACAAGCACCATGTGGTTTGACAAGACGATGCCTCGTCTGGTTTCCACACCGTAAACATATAAGTACTGCGAAAACTGTCATACTCCAGGTGGATTAGGACAGAAACATTCAAAATATTTAACGTTTTTGCGATCAAATCATTTTGGTCTTAAATTCATAACTTTTATTCCAAACTTAATTTTTAAAAGAAATGAAGTTTTGATTTATGAAGGGTGTAAATGTATGAAATGCAAGGGAAACGTGTAACAACTGACTAATGTTTGTTGTGTTGGTACGTTTCTCACAGTCCGCGGTCCGCGGTCGCGGTCATTCGTTTTGTTTACAATTTTGAAAACTTTGGTAGACTTTGACTTTAGCCTGCCTTACCGCTGATAAGGAAGTATCGTGTGCGAAGCCAACTAGCCCCTGCCTCATCCGATGATAAGCTAGACTGATAAGATGAAATGTCATTTTAAAATTAACATTATTATCGTGTCTGTTCGTTCGCTTATGATGAGTTACTTTGATGCAGTTACATAGCTATCACAATGAAGCAAAGTACCTTAAATTTATTTAAATCTGGACATAAACTCGTCTCGTCAGCAAGCTGTCAGAAACTTCAATCAGAATATGATGTCGTAATTGTTGGAGCAGGTATTTTTCAGAAAGAGTATGAAGTGTCGTTTACGTTGACATATATTTTTATATTATTTTTTGTATTTGAAGGACACAATGGGCTGGTCGCTGCTGGATATTTACAAAGAAGTGGGCTCAGTGTCTGTGTTTTAGAAAGACGACATGTTGTTGGAGGTGCTGCGGTAACAGAGGAAATAGTGCCATCTTTTAAATTTTCTAGAGCCTCGTATGTTCTCAGTTTGCTGAGACCAAAAATCATCAGAGATCTGGAGCTGAAGGTATTTGTCTTTTACATTAACTGTTTTTACTACTTCTGTTTGGATTTCAATTTATATCCCTTCCAGAAATTTGGTTTAAAAGTCCACTTACGGAACCCAAGCTCCTTCACACCTCTTTCTGAGAAATATTGGAGAGGTAACACCTCGAAGTCACTTATCCTTGGTCAAGATGATGTGTTCAACTTCCAACAAATATCCCAGTTTTCAGTCAAAGATGCTAAAGTATGGGAGTCATTTGACAAAATTTACTTACACTGATATGGAATTACAAATGTTTTAATCACCTGTCATCCAATTAAAAATATATTCTTCCCTAAGGCTTATGAAATGTATGAAAAACAGCTCCAAAAAATAGTGAAAGCTCTTGATCCATTACTTGACTTGTCACCTGCATCTGTAATTGATCTGTTAAATGAAAAATCTATTTTGAGAAGGATCGCATTGCTTCTCAAAAACCCGGGCATTGCCCAAGCTGGTAAAAAAATCTTTTATGAATGTTGAAGGAATTCTCTTATTTTGTGTTCTTATATTTTTGGCATATGATTCTATGTATTATTTACTTATAACTTGTAGGTATTAGTATTGCAAAGTTGGGTGCTGAGCTTCCATCTGCTTGGCAACTGCTAATGGCTCCCATCAGACAAATTCTGGATCAATGGTTTGAATCAGAACCACTGCGGGCAACCCTAGCGACTGATGCATTGATTGGTGCTATGCATGACACACACACACCAGGTGGAGGGTGAGTGCTATCTTGTCCTGTTGTGAGCAGGGGAAAAATTAACTACTATTTTAAGCAATGAATTTCAACTGTCAGGTATGTCTTACTGCATCATGTTATGGGAGAAATAGACGGGAAAAGAGGTGTCTGGGGGTATCCTGAAGGAGGAATGGGAGCTGTTTCCCAAGCCCTTGCAGATTCAGCCGCATCACATGGTGCTCATATTTTTACAAATCAGGTACTGTGACTTAATTAATGGTACTTATGTATTTTCTCCATTGTACAGGCTAATCAAAACGGTTTTGGTGTTATCATTTGTACTCTTTATTCACTTTTCATAAGACAAACACAAGTTAAACACAATAAACACAAAAATTAAAACATATTTTTAAATAGGTTATTTATCTTAGATTATGCGTATTATGCTAATATATTGATTTATTTGGTCATTTTAAATAACCAAATCACTAAATGGTCATGGTTTCTCGCTACGTCATGTCTCAGAATACTTCGTCCCAATTTTCATTTGAGTCAGGATCTTCAACTTCAGAATGTTTTACAGATACTGCCGTATCTTTTGTTGCGGGTGAGGTTGAACTATTAGCCACAAAGTGAAGTGATTGCCTTAGACGCACACTTTCGTTTCTTGTGAGATCTGTGGCGCACCAAATTACATAAGATGAATAACGTATAAAATGAATAATAATAAATTGGATTCTGTCCCCGTGAGAGATCAAAACTCACCTCTGCTTGTCAATCCAATACCTGGCTTATTCATTGATATCACAGGTGCACTTTGTGCCTTATCTTCAGGTGCAACAAACGCAACCTGTGCTAGAGCTGGTCTCACCTTGCAAAACTCTTTTAAGCGACCAGATTTAGACCTGTAATTTAGAGTAGTTTTAAATCTTGGTGAGGAATTTCTTTTTGAATTTATTCAGCTTCAAAATCTGCAATTACCTGTGCAGTTTGTTAGTACCAATGTTAGGGCTAATGCTAGTGCCAATAGAACCACTAAGTTCTTCAAAATCTGCCGGTGAACTTTGAGCTGGTTCAGATGGTGTCTGAGTTCTATCAGAATTTCTTGAAAACAATTGATGAAAATATCTCCTTGTTGTCATTTTCTTCTCAGTGTAGTAGTAATTTTCAAGAGAAATATGATACTTTCCTACAATTTTATCACAGATTATTTTAATCATGAGTATGCCAGGGAAATAGAATGTTACTTTTAAATTTTTTATAAAACTGTTAACTATAGTCAGACTGGTTTGATGAACCATTGTTTTGTAGATTCTTACCATTAGTTTATGAAAATCCAATTGAATCCTTGTTGCTTGGTATATCTTTTGATGAATTTAGCTATTCTGAAAACTTGCTGTAGCTTTACTGCATTTCACACTTTTACACACCACTGCTGGTTCAACTGTCACCAATCACTAGCTCCTCTACTGACAGAGGCATAACAGGCTTTGATGATGATATTTTGGCAGGACTTTCAGCTTAAGAGTATAACCCTTATCTTATCAAGGTGGCAGTATCCTGGTACAGTCAGATAACAAACCACATATATATCTTAATTTTTATTTCCATAA